GATGACCCCGACGCAATGCATCTGTTGTACAGCCGCCGACTTTTTAACGAGGCGGCGGTCAGCGCAGTAGTCAGGGGCAATGTTGATGCGCTGCAAGGTATAGCTACAAGCCATTGGACATACAAGCGTTGTAGTAGCTGTACGACACGCACTGCGACCGAGGCTACCAGAGCAACAAGAAGCGCTGATAAGCCCCAACGCGCACCTGCTAATGTTTACTAAGAGCAAACGATGTTGACAAGGAAGGGGTACAAGTTCGATCAGCAGAAGCCGCGTGGTGTAGCTGTTCGTTGAAGTTCGCAAAAGCATCATCACCTCGTCTGGAATTTGTTGATATATTGAAGTGTGTTATTTCGTTGAGAATCGTGAGCGGGCGACCTTAACTGATTTTTCGTTGGGATGACGAGGAATTTTGGATTGCTCTCTCACAAATCCAGTTCCGTATTTGGCGCGACGTGGTAAGCTATGACAAGACCTACAAAGATGTCAAGGCGCGATAAAGCAGCAAGACGCGCGATAAAGAAGACTTCAAATGGTACTCATACCACACGGAGGCCAAGTCACACATATCCGCCGAACAAGCAGAAGAACAACGTGTAACAGCTCGCTTAGACCGACACGAAGAGACCAGAAAGTGGAACGCGGATGTCCAGCAGCTCCCTATTTGTAAACGCCAGAAAACAAGTACAAGCTCGGCCAACGAGGCGGACGCAGAAAACCTGGAGGCTGATAAAAAAAGGCATGATGATTTAAGCACGTAGGAAATAGCGATCCAAGCTTCAAAGTTGTCCTTAACCAAACGGAAGATAGGCTTATTGGACTAGGTATTTCGTTCACCACATGGGTAAATTTGTATAAAGACGGTCAAGAATTTACTTGTGGCAATGCTATCAATTATTGGAATGATCCTGCAGTGACTGTCAGGGAGCTTCCCCGGCCTTTGAAAGATTGTGGAGCCGTCTTTCTAACGTCACGCTCAGAAAAAGTCACGAATTACTTTCGTGTCCGCCCTGACCTTTTAAGCCGGCACTAGAATGGTTAACCCTTTAGCGACGAGGATTCGTATAGATTCCAGAGAATCTGTACGGCGGGTGAATGAAGACGCTTATTGGACCAAACACGCTTCGGGAAATAGGTTGGTGGCGTTGAAGTCACGCTACAGG